ATTAATAACACTCGACTATATCTACCCTGTAAGGTATGAAACATTGCAGGAAAGGAAACCATGTCCTCTCTCTCTCTCTCTCTCTCTCTCTCCCTCTCTCTCTCTCTCTCTCTTTTTGAGTTGGAGTCTCACTCTGTCGCCCAGGCTGGAGTGCAGTGGCACGCTTACAGTCATCCCAGTGTCAACCTGCTGGGCTTTGGCGATCCTTCTGCCTCAGCCTTCCAAGTAGCCAGAACTACAGGCGCACACCACCACACCCAGCTAATTTTTGATTTATTGTAGAGACAAGGTCTCGTCAAGTTGCCCGGGATGGTCTTGAACCTGTGGGCGCAAGCAATCCACTCGCCTCAGCCTCCCAAAGTGCTGGGATTCAGGCTGAGCCACTTAGCCCAACCCTCTCTCTTTTTAAAGGAAAACTTGAAAGGTTTCCTTCCAGGTCTTTTTCTTTGTGTTTACATATACCACGCATTAGCAACATATACAATTGCTTTGTAACTCTTTAAACAAAGCACAAATGGTATTATGCTGTACATATCATTATGCAGTTTGGTTTTTTGTAAACTCAAGATGTGTCTTAGAGATTTAACCCTGTTGGTACCTAATTGAGCTTTCATATTCCATAGTGTGCTTACACCGTAAGAGTCTATTTGCACTTTATTAACACACATTTAGGTTGTTTTAGGTTTCAAGTTACAGATAATGCTGCAGTGACTACTCTTATACCCACCTCTGTGTGCATGTGTAAACATTACTCTAGGGTAGATACTGAGAAGTGGAATTACTGGGTCCCAAAGGATTTAAAATTTTAACAGATTCAGCAAAATTGCCTTCCAAAATGTCAGTGCCAACTTTGCTTCCATCTGTGTATGGAGTACCGATTTCTCTGTCTCCCCACAATGTGTGATAGCGAAAAACTTTTTAAAAATTGGCATTTTCATGGATAACAAGTGGTTTCTTATTGTCTTAATATGCATTTCTAATGACATTGAACAACAATTTTTGGCAATTTATATTTTCTTTTCAGTGAATTGCCTGCTCATGTCCTATGCATAAATTCTTCTTTTGTTTAATTTTTTATCTATTGATTTGTGGGAGTTCTTTATATATATATATATTTTTAGGTTCAGGGTGTACACGTGCATGTTTGTTACATGGACATATTGTGTAGTGGTGAGGATTGAGTCTCAGGTGGCCCATTCCCAAATAGTGAACAATGTATCTTAGGCAGTTTCTGAACCCTAACCCCCATCCCCATTGATGTCCCTTGTATCTATTACTTCCACCTTTGTGAACATTTAGCTCCCACATATGAGTGAGAACATGTGGTGCTTGGTTTTTTGTTCTGAGTCAGTTCACTTAGGATGATGATCTCCAGCTCTATTCATGTTGCTGCAAAGGACAAGACTTCATTCTTTTTATGGCTGCATAGTATTCCATGGTGTATATTTGCCACATTTTTATCATCCATTGATCATGGATGAGTCTTTGCAATTGTGAATTGTGCTGTGATGAACATGAGTGTGCACATGTCTTTTTTATATAATGACCTCTGTTCCTTAGGGTAGACAGGGAGTTCTTTATATATTATGAATACTTATCCTTGACCTGTGATATGTGTTGCACAGTTTTCTACTAGAAAGTCTTTAGAAAAAAGGTTCCTATCTCTTGGACCTGCTCTTGGGCATCCCTTCTTGGGATGTGCCCACCAGTGATTTCCTACAGTACAGAGAGGTCACACTTGATCAAAGACTCTGTCCTAAAGAAGCTACATAATTGAAGACTGTTCCATAGAAGTAAATATAAGGTGGTGATAGTGGACATATGGGCTAGCACACAAATCCACAACCATTGTGGTACAGTAGGTAAATACGTAAAACCTGAGAACATGTGGACATATACATAGTGCCTCAGAGGGGCCAGACTACTTGAGTTCAGTCTGGTTTCTGCCCCTTACTAATAATTGTATAAATTTGGGCAAATTATTTCAACCTCCTAGGACTCAGTTTCCTCATTAGTAAAATGGGGTTAATACAAGTACTTATAGGATTGCTGCAAAGATTAAATGAGTTAAGATGTGCAGAGTGTTTTAGCAGAGTTTGGCGCATAGTGGATGCTGTAGAAATGTTAGCTATTACATAATAGAAATTTGTCCTTCATGGTGTTTTTAATAAATCACATCTGATTTCTGTTTCAAAGTACAGTAATTGAATTTGAAATGTGTTTCCTTCAGCATCTGGTACCACCTCCTAATGAATACTTAGATAACAGGGCTATATGATAGACAAGATTAAAACTAAAAATAAAGGCATGTGTTTTGGAAAGAGGCATATGAGTGCTAGAAACACAGAGCAGGAGCTCCAGTGCAGGTAAACAGCAGCTTCTTCACAGCATACTCGTGAAGAATGGTGGGCATTCCTCTTTACTAGGTAGAGTGGTGCAGCCGAGGCAACTGTGTAAACACAATTTATGATTCACTTGGTTTGCCAGCTTCACCATTATGCAATTTTTGATTAAGTTTTTTACTTGCAGGGGTTCACACTATTTCATAATCCACATGTAACGTGAGAGCTGATTGGTTTTCATATGCCACTGATTTCAAATTCCCCTAATTCCAGGTTGCATGTGGTGTGACCATTCTGCCCTCTCTGTGAGTGAGCTGGACTATTTGCTGTCCTCCCAGTGATTCTCACCAGTTATCAGTGCTAGGTAGGGCCCACTGATTTCCTGGGGTTTCTTTTTTTCCCGTTTTTTAAAAAAAAATTTTATTTTATTGTAAAGATGTAGGATACTCATCAGGATTAGGTACATAGGTAGTCTGCATGCAGGTGAAGTTTGGGCCTCCAACTGGTCCTTACTTTCCCTAGTTTAGGACCATGTACCCTTAGTGATGTTATACGCCCCTGGCCCCGGGGTTGTTTTTTAAATGTGGGGTAAGAGATACCAGTTTTGCTTGAGGTTGAACTCAGAGTCTGCTTTGGTCCAAGTGAAGACCATAGCAGATTCTGTGATTATCTCGAGACTCCTGAATAGATGAAACAGGTATCCCGATCTTCGCAGACAGGCTGCTTCTTCCCTTAGCCCTGGTCCCTGTACCCTTTGCATACTTGTGCTACTTCAACCGCTGTACAAAGCTGAAGAAATCCAGAGCCTGGAGCATCCCTGGGAAGTTCTAAGATAAAACAGTATTTCTAGTTTCTGCCTCATTGTCACCGAATTTGGGAGTGAGACTTTGCAGTGCTCTCTACTGGGGAGTGAACGCTTGGCAGTCAGGCCACTGAGAGAAGGTCCTCCCAGTGTGCTGAGGTCATGGCACGTGAGCTTTTGTGTCTGGTGCACTAAAGGTTGTGGTGACAACCACTTCCCTCTCAATAGAATGGCTGTAGTAAAAACGACTGACAATAGCACATGTTGGCGAGAATGTGGAACAGTTGGAACTCTTGTATGTTGCTGGTGGGAGTGTAACATGGCACAAATACTTTGGAGAACTGTCTGTTATTGCTTTTAAAGTCAAACATATATCTACCCTATGACCTACACAGTTCCCTTCTAGGAATCCACTCAAGTAAAATAGAAACATATGTCCACATAAAGACTTATAGATGAGTATTCATAGCAGACTTATTCATGATAGTAAAAAATAAAATAATCAAACATCTATCAATGGGAGAGTGGGTAAACAACTTTGGGAATAATCATACAATGAAATATGACTCAATAATAAAAAAAAACACACCAGAGAGTCACAGGACACAAGGAGGAGTAAAAAACACGATGTTGAGCAAATGAAGCCAGATACAAAAGCAAACACGATTTCCTGTATATGGAACCCAAGAGAATGTAAACTCACCCATGAGAATAAAAGTCCCCGCAGTGGTCGCCTCTGCAGTGGGGAGTGGGAGATTGATAGGAGCTGGAATTGGGTGGAAGGAGCTCAGGACGAGGGTAGAGTTCTACAAGCTTGGTTCCCTGGGTGAACATGATCGCTGAAACTCATCCACCTGAACACCTAAAACTTGTGTATTTTCCTAAATTATGCCTCAATAAAATATTTACGAAACATATTTTTCAAAGATTATGGCTAGCTTGGTGCTTTTGCTGTTTCATACTTCTAATTACATGTGTTCATCAGGGTTGTCATCTTTTGCAATGCTAGATGACATAACATCTTAACTATATAGGAAAGGTTCATTATTAACCTGTGGTCCGTTAATAGTTTTCAGTGGATCCACGAACCCCGTGAAATTGAATGCACAATTTTGCAAGTCTATGTGCATGTATTTTTCTTTTCCCTTGTGGAATGAGTTCATAGCTATCATCATATTATCAAAAGAATCTGTGACCCAAAGCATATTTAGAATAGAACCTCTGTGTCAGAAGGTTCATGCAGAATGTGTAGGGCACATCAGTAGTTAAAGACGAATGAACTAATAAATGACAAATTGTTTCCAGTTGACATTCAAGGAACCAAGCTCCTAATTGTGTGCAGATTAAAACTGGCACATGTCAGTGGCTCCATGAAACTAACAAAAATTAGAGTAACCTTCTGCTCTGAGAAAAAGAAGTCCTGATAAGAATAGGAGGCAGAGTCAGTGTACCATAAAAGAACATTCAATCACATTTATAGAAATAGGTGTCTGTTATTCAAAAGTATTCAATATACTGTGTCTATTTTAAACATTGAACTTAGATAGATAATAGAAGCTACAGTTATGATTCAACTGTTAAAAATTATTTAACACTTTTCTCTTGATAAGAAGAAAAACAATGACCATAGTCAATGCTAACAGAATTGTATCAGGTTCAGCTTTGCCAGTGTTTAACAAAAGAAGGCAATTTTCATACACTGGGTTTGAGAACTGGTTATTCATTCTCAGTCCCTGATTACAAGGAGACAATGCAGCATTAAATTGACGGCATGGAGTTACAAAGCCTCTCTGAGATGTGAAGTTGCTCCCAGAACATCTGAGAACCTTGACTCTCTTTGGTGTGGTTATTGACAGGTTTCTGTGGTCTATTTTGTCCAACATGTCTTGAGTGTGCCATTGCCAGGCATTATGGAGAGTGTCTTTGTTGGCCATTGCTACCTGGGTCCACCTTTGCACTGAGAGTTGGCACAAGGGAGAGACACAAAATACAGGTAAGTGTTTTGGAAGATATACGTGGAAACTGAATCTATTGTCTATTGTTTCCAGTTGATGTTCAAGGAACTAAGCCCCTAACAATTTGCAGGTTAAAACTGGCAGATATCAGTGGCTCCATGAAGTTAACAAAAATTAGAGTAACCTACTGGATGCCTTCCAAATCTGTAATTTTTTTTAAAGGTGTGAGAAAAAAAACTGGTGGGAAACTTTGAGAAAGGAAAGAAAATAATTTTTACAAATTTCATTCTTTATCAGGAACTTTAAGTTAACTAAAATGCCATACTGTGAAAAATATTTCCAAGGAGAAATTATATTGCATATTTTTGGTCAATGGGCTTGCCCAGGCCCTTGGTCAAGTTGTGCTCCCTAAGCTGAGCTTTACAGAAGAGTATTAGGAGAATGTAGCCTTCATTACTTTTGCTCTCTTAACCAATGCACATTCCCTTGCCTCTGTCAAAATAACAGCACACTTCTGTCTGTCTCTTGTTACGTTAAGAGAAGGCAACAGGTGGAATTGCACCAACTTTGGAGAATACACTTGGGAGGTATATACCCTGGTGGCATACGCAGAATTCACTTGGGGGTTTTCTGGAAACCCTCCAAGGAGCCAGATGGCCCGTTTCCAGTCCAGCTGTGTCGGAGGTACACGAGTGGCTAGTAAGACATAGGTCGTACATATGAAGATGTGGATGATTAAAAAAGGGCATCTCTTCATAGATTCTATGGAGTGATCTGTATGATATATTTTTAAGTGAAAAAAGTGCAAGACACAGAAGTATGTAGCTATTTACATGAAAAAATTACCTATGTGTAGGCTTATGGAGACTTAGGATTCATCTGGAAGTGTCTACAAGAAATTGGTAGCAATGGTTGCTCCCAGGCAGGAACTAGAATGTTGGACCAGCCGTTGAGGGGATTTATTTCTTACTTCCCATCCCTTCTTACTGTGGGGATTTGGGGCCATATGAACTTATTACCTATTCCAAAGTGGTAAATAATTATAACCATCAGGTCCTAGGAGAAAAACCCAAGATGTTGATACAGAAATCAGTGGTTTCTAGGCTGAGTGCAGTAGCTCACACCTGTAATCCCAGCACTTTGTGAGGCCAAGGTGGGAGGATTGCTTGAGCCCAGAAGTTCGAGACCAGCTTGGACAACCATAGTGAGACCTCATTTCTATAAAAAAAAAAATTAGCCAGGTATGGGGGTGCGTGCCTGTAGTCCTAGCTGCTCAGGAGGCTGAAGTGGATCACCTGAGCTTTGGAGGTCGAGGCTGTGGTGAGCTGTGATTGTGCCATGCACTCCAGCCTGGCCAAAAGAGTGAGAACTCAACTCAAAAAAAAAAAAGAAAGAAAAAGAAAAAAGAAATCAGTGGTTTCAAGTATAGGGTCCATATCAGAAGTCTTAAGGACAGGGTTGTGAGTTGTAGGTACCAATTAGCAATTGTTCTGCTTGCACTTGTGACCCAGCGCCCCGGGGTGTTGACTTGAAGGTGTGGGTGGACCTTGGGGGTGCTGAGTGGGGGGCCAGCAGGTGTTATCCTGGTCCTGGGGGAATGGGAAGGAGCTGGTGTGGTTGTGGCTGAACAGGGCCCCTGGTCTCACCCTAGGGCACACTGTGTGAGGACTGGCTGGCGGTGCACTGCTGCTGGCCCTTGTCCGTCTGCCAGGTAGCCCGAGAACTCAAGATGAGGACCGCCCGGGTCTACGAAATCTGCACAGTCCCTTCCACTAAGGACACCTTGGCCTGACAGAGCAAGGAAACTTCTCCTTCTCACCCCCCACAGGCTCCTCTCAAGCCCCTCTTAGGAGAAAGATGGGTTTCCTTTTCACTGAAACCATATGAAAATAAACGACTTCCCCCTGTTGTCTCCACTGCTCTTCCTTACACATCCCCTGGCGAAGACTTCATGTGTCCAATTGCTGCCCCAGTCCAGCCATGAAACACAGAGCATGAGGTGGGTTTGGTACTCTCTCCACACCCTGCTCCCCCAGAATTTTGGAAGTATGCATTTTCCCCTCTAGATTTCTGAGCCATCCTTTCATGGGAGGTCTGGAAAGCTGGAAGAACTGTTATGTGGCTTTCTTTTTCTTTTTCTTTTTTTGAGTTGGGGTCTCACTCTGTTGCCCAGGCTGGAGTGCAGTGGCATGTTCACGGCCACCACAGCCTCGACCTGCTGGGCTCAAGTGATCCTTCCCCTTCAGCCTTCTAAGTTGCTGGTACTCCAGCCGCACACCACCACACCTGGCTAATTTTTTGATTTATTGTAGAGGTGAGGTCTCGTCAAATTGCCCAGGCTGGTCTCAAACCCCTGGGATCAGGCAATCCTCTTGTCTGCACCTCTCAAAGTGTTGGGATTATAGGTGTGAGCCATTGTGCCCAGCTATGTGGTTTTCTTATACCAGGCCCTTCCTCCCCAAATGTCAGCGAAGGGGCAGGAGATGGTTAATTTTAGTTAGCATCTGGATGGACATGAAATGCCACAGAAACATGGACTGGACCGTTGTCCTTCTTTTGTCCTGACCCTCCAGACCTGACTGCATAAATGAGAAAGTCTGGTCTAACACCTGCAAATCCTCCACAGGTCCCAGACTGAAGCCTCAGGCAAGCACCTGTTATGGGGGGAATAACTCCACCATCCCCTGCCCCTCCATCAAAAGATTTATTGACATCTTAACCCCAGTACCTTGAATATGACCTTACTTGGAAATAGGGTTTTTGCATATGTAATCAAGTTCAGATGAGGTCATTAGTGTGGGCCCCAATCCAATTTGATGGGTGTTCTTACAAGAAGAGGAGACAGAAAGAAAACACACAGAGGGGAAACAACCATGGCACAGAGGCAGAGACTGGAGTGACGCTTCCACAAGCCAAGAAATGCCTGGGGCTACTAGAGGCTGGGAGAGGCAGGGAGGATCCTCCCCCAGAGGTTTTGGAAGGAGTACAGCCCTGCTGACATCTCTCTACACCCCAACCCCACCTTTTTTTAGTCAGTCTCACTCTGTCACCCAGGCTGGACTGCAGGGGCACGATCATGACTTACCAAAGCCTCGACCTCCAGGGCTCAGGCGATCCTTCCAGCTCAGTCTCCTGAGTAGCTGGGACACTAGGTGCATGCCGCCACACCCAGCTAATTTTTTTTTTATTTTTGTAGATAAGAGGTCTAGCTATGTTGCCCAAGCTGGTCTCAAACTCCTGGGCCCAGGTGATTGTCTCGCCTCAACCCTCCAAAATGCTGGGATTACATGTGTAATCTACCATGCCCAGCTCTTGCCAACATCTTGATTTTGGACTTCTAGCCCCCAGAAAGGTGACAGAATAAGTTTCTATTGTTTTAAGCTGCTCAGTGTGTGGTCATTTATTATAGCAGCCCTAGGAAATGAATAGAGCAGCCGTTTGTAGATGTTTTTGTTAGGGTGGCGGCAAAGAAACACACTGGAGAGCTTGAGTGCTGGAGCCCAAAGCACCTCCTCTGTTTACTAATTACTCAGCCATAGGTAAATTGGCTAGTGTCTCTCTGTTTCGGTTTCATCGTCTACTAAGAGGGATGGTGATGGTCCTGACCTTATAGGGCTGTGAGTAGTGTAAGTCCAAATACGTAGCACAGTGCCTGGCAAGAGGGAAGGATTAAGTAAACAGGTGCTGTTACTGTTTTATGGCCACTTTATATTTGTAGCATATTATACTAGTTTTCCATTTACAGTTGGGATATAAAATTTTAAAGTAAATTTTGGATGAAAATGGATATTAGAGTTGAAGTCACCGCCCACCCCAAAAAGAAAATGAGTCAATTAAAGGAGAATACTAAATAAATAAGAACTTAGGTGGTAGGTGGAGATGGCAACCATCACAAAGATGGCCAGGCACTGTTCAAAGCAGTGGATGTATTTTTTTTTTAATGCAGGTTTTATTGAGAGGACAGAAAACCTGCCACAGTGGGAGGGGACCCTAAAGGGATGCCCAACACTAGACATATTTTAAGACGCTCATACTTAACATTCAGGAAGCTGCTATTCGATCTCTATATTCTAGGAAAGGGATCTGAGACACAGAGGGGTTAAGGATCTTGCCCAAGGCCACACACCTGGTCACACAGGCAGACAGGATCTTGAGGCTGTGCGCCCTGCCTTTGCACCAAGCAGGCAGAGAAGGTTTCTAAGCAAAGGGACCTTCTTGGGCCCACGTGGCTGCACAAACCCGAGTGAGCTCCACAGTGGGTGAGCTTGGCCTGCTCGATGTCGTGAGGCAGGGTTACCTGTCCCTTCCCCAGCCCGCCCCCACTGAAACTCAGCAGTTCCCACCTGACAAGGGGATTCCCACCCTCCTAGCCCTGCCTTCTGGATGTTCAGAGCAGCTGTCAAGAGCTAAACCCTTTTGGGGAAAACAAAATACTCCATGTTGACATTTAATCTATGGCAAAGTACTGCCCTCTTGAAACCAGCTACTGAAAAAATGCAGGCCTGAGGGACAACTCTATTGAATGAAAACAAACCTGTTTTTATTGTTTCATGCTAAAACACGTCTTAGGCTTCACACGCTTTACAGCTGGGAACAGTGTACGTTTTTGGCAAAGGAGCCTCGAGTCATTCCTGCACGTTCACGGTGACCACCCTGTGTGAGGAGCAGATGGCGTTTTGTTCACAGGTGTTCGGAGCCGCTCTCCTACTGTCTGATGGCAAAGGTGCGAGGGGACCACACCAGCAAGGGGAACCCCTTCTCCCTCCTGCTTCTCAGATCTGTCTGGGCAGTAAAGAGCAAATCCAGCACTTCATCAGAGCCATGGACCCAAGCAGGTAATGCTTGGGGCTCTGAAAGCAGCGAGTCTGCCACAGAACCACAGAACATAAGGCAGAATCAACACGACTAGTTCTTTGAAAGCCCACAGTAAAGAGTGGCCCTGAAGGAAGGTGGCTTACGACTTTTGGCTTCTTCTAGACCATATCAAGTCCCAGAAAAAAGGACCTGACAAAAATATGTGCTCTTCAGGAGAAACATTATCTAACACTAGATGTTTGAGAGACTAACTCTGACATTAAACAGCCCGTTGACTCAGGTTTACAAAAAACATTGATGGGCACGAATCTGAGAGTTACCCAATAGTGAAGACATTTTCCATATGTTTTTCTTCTCACTAGAAAATTCCTTTTGGTTTTCCAGGATACAAGGTGACGACTCCCTGTGGGTGAACAACACCAACACACATGCAGCAGACATCTCAGAGTAGTCCACGCAGGTCATTATGAATTACAAAACCAGAAACAACAAACAAAACCTCTAAACCTCTTGGCTTTACAGTGGAGTACACTAAGGAAATAAGCTTCCAGCCCTGGGACTCTCTATGATGTAGAACAGAGATATGAAAAGCTTGAGGGTCCTTAAGTGCCCTCTGCCTTATGCAATCGCTTTTATATGTTTATATATTTTATATATCTAAGGCTTATTTATAGAATATTCCATAATGACTAGCACAAGATACTCCTTTTATAAACATTCTTCACATGTATATTTACTCATAAAGGATTATCTTTGGTCTATTAAAAACATTGTACTTACAAAAATAAGCAGAGACACAAAAGTGTGTGGCTTTTCTGCTTATCTTTACATGGAGGAGTGAATTTTTCTCCTTGTCCATTTCTCCTTCCTCTTTTTCCCGCCTAAGCAACACCTCCTGCTCCTGACTCAATGCGTAATTGAGAAACAATTTCTGAGATGACACTTAGACGCAACATTTAACAAACTCTTCTAGGGCTGACTTGTGACCATCCGGGCTTATCCTTCCTGCTCCCCACCCCCGCTCCCCCCGCCCAACCCCTTGCTTTTTGACCCCTGACCGTGTAGAATCTGCACACTGGAACTGAGAGTCCAAAGACAAAACCTTTAGAAAACAAAAGGCTGTTCCTAAGCGTTTGGGTTTTACTGGGAACAAATCTGATCTTTTATTTGTGTTTTAGAAAAATTTGGCTGATTGGCTAAGCAGGTTCAAAAGAAGAGCTAAATCCTCATGAAAGTCTCTACCATATGTCATGAAAACTATCCAGAGTCTTAGAAAACAGCATATGGAAACCTGAGGAATGATGATGTCCTATCACTCAAACTGTGAGGGGAGTCCATGTGTGAAGACGGGAATGTGAGCAGGAGGCCTGGGGGCAAGGCTGTAGGACCAGCAGGGTCACTCCTGCCTCCTCGACCCACCTGGTAGGTGAAGGTGGGACTCCAAGGCTGTCTGGGTATCATCACCTCCTCTTGCAGTGAACAAGAGAAAGGTGTGGGAAAGACTGCCCGGTCACTTGACCCATTAAAAGGCGGCTGCCCGTCAAGTTCTGCCTGACAGCTGCACATGGAAGATGATGCTTCTATCACCTCCAAGCGCAGATCTCCCTCTGCTCATACCTTGGCCAATATGGCTCCTGTTTACAAGCAGGACTGGACGAAAGACTATTTCAAAGCCGCCAACACATCCCAGTAACGCTGCCATTGGCTTTGATATTCAGGGCAGCAAGTGCTTTTACAAATCAAGTGCTAGCCGGGCACAGTGGCTCACGCCTGTCATCCCAACACTTTGGGAGGCAGAGGTGAGAGGATTGCCTGAGCCCAGGGGTTCAAGACCAGTCTGGGCAATTTGGTGAGACCTCGTCTCTACAATAAATAAAAAAAAATTAGCCAGGCATGGTGGCGCACACCTGTAGTTCAGCTACTTAGAAGGCTAAGGTGGAAGGATCGCCTGAGCCAAGGCTGTGGTGACTATGAGCGTGTCACTGCACTCCAGCCTGGGCAACAGAGTGAGACCCCAACTCAAAAAAAAGAGTCAAGTTCCTATGGATGTTGTGAAAGAAGGGAGAAGATGAAAATGGACGGTTAAAAAGTATCAGG